TTCTAAAATTCACATGGAATTACAAGGGGCTCTAAATTCCCAACAATCTTGAAAAAGAACAAAGCTCAAGAACTTACACTTTCCAGTTTCAAAACTTAGCAAAAGGCAACAGTTATCAATCACCCTGTCCTGATAACAGAAATAAGCCCAGACATCTACGGTCAACTGATTTTCCACAAGGGTGCCAAGGTCATTCAGTGGTAAAAACAGTCTCTTCAACAAGTGGTGCTGAGACAACTAGATATCCCACGCAGAGAATGAAGTGGGACCCCCACCTCAAGTCAAATACCAAAACTAACTCAACATGGATCAAAGAACTAAATGTAACAGCTGAAACTATAAAACTCTTAGAAGAAAACCAGGAAAAATATTCATGACCTTGGATTTAGCAATAGATTCTTAGATGACACCAAAAGCATGAACAACAAAAGAGAAAAATAGACAAACTGGACCTCATCAAAATTAAAAACATTTTTGCATCAAAGGACATTATCAAGAAAGTGAAAAGACAACTGACAGAATGGAGGAAAATATTTGCAAATCATATATTTGATGAGGGCCTACTCTTCACCATATATAGAACTCTCAGAACTCAACAAGACAACATAATCAAAAAGTGGGCAAAGGATCTGAATAGACATTTCTCCAAAGAAGATACACAAATAGGGAATAAGCACATGAAAAAAAATTCTTACTCTTCAGGGAAATGCAAATCAAAACCACATGGAGATACCACTTCACACACACTAGGATGACTGAAACCAAAACGACAGACAGGAAGTGCTGGTGGGGACGTGGAAAAACTGGAACCCTTGTCCACTGCTAGTGGGAATGCAAAATGGTGCAGCCACTGTGGAAAACAGTCTGGTAGTTCCCGAAAAAGTTCAACATAAGTTACCATTTGACTTAGCAATTCCACTCATATGTATATACCCAAGAAAAATAAAAACATACATCCACACAAAGATTTGCACACAACTATTTATTGGAGTATTACACCTAAGAGCCAAAAAGTAGAAACAACCCAGGGCTGGCCTGGTGGTGGAGTGGTTAAGTTTGGCATGCTCCATTTCAGCAGCCCGGGGTTCACAGGTTCGGATCCCAGGTGTGGACCTACACACTGCTCATCAAGCCATGCTGCAGTGGCGTCCCACATACAAAACAGAGGAAGACTGGCACAGATGTTAGCTCAGCAACAGTCTTCCTCAAGCAAAAACAGGAGGATTGGCACCAGATGTTAGCTCAGGGCCAATATTCCTCACCAAAAAAAAGAGTGCAGAAACAACCCAAATGTCCACCAACTGATGAATGGATAAACAAAATATAGTCTACCCATACAATGGCATAGGGTTTGGCCATAAACAGGAATGAAGTACAGATGCCTGCTTCTATGCAGATGAACCTTGACAACATTATGTCAAGTGAAAGCAGCCAGTCACAAAGGACCACATACTGAATGATTCCATTTATATACAATATCTGAAACAGCTAAATCTACAGAGACAGAAAGTGGATTAGTGCTTGCTTAGGGCTCGGGGGGATGGGGAGATAAGGGGATAATGGCTAAAGGGTAGGAGTTTCTTTTTGAGATGATGAAAATCTTCTAAAATTGACTGTGGTGGTGGTTGCACATGTCTGTGAATATAGTACAAACCATTGACTTGTACACTTTAAGCAAGTAAACTGTATGGTATGTAAGTTATATCTCAATCAAGCTACTGCAGAAAGAGGAGGATCTGAGAGGCAGGAGTACTGGGCAGAGATGCGGGTAAACACACAGCAGATGTGAATAATCATTGTAGAAAGTAATGCTGTAAACTGTGATTTTCAAAAAAGTACACAAAGAACACCCAACATTAGCTTCATGAATGTGGGAGAGGCAACCGGAATAGCGTGTCCCAGGTCCTTATGGTGTGTGTGTGGTAGGGGGAGGCAGGGGTCGAGTTATTGATTAACCTTAGGCTTGAAGTATGCGTGGTTGAAATGAACAGGTAACTGCTAAAATGAAAGAATGTGTAACTTCCAAACCAATAGAGCAAAAAATGGAATAAAGAAACTAACAAGCAAAAGTGAAGAGAGATCAGCAAACTACGGTCCGGGGGCCTCATGCAGCCGCCACCTCTTCTGTAAATGAAGTTGTGCTGGAACACAGCCGTGCTTCTGATGTCTGTCCACGGCTGTTTCTGAGCTTAGTGGCAGAGCTGGGGGGCTGCATCAGACCCCAGGTGACCTACCGAGACGGAAGCATTTATAGTCTGTCCTTTCACAGATCGTCTGCTGACTCCTGCATGCAATACTACACAACAGACAGAGAGCAAGAGCTAGTCTGGGTTGCAGCCTCCTTAGCCTCAAAATAAAGACCACATCCCCTCCTCCCTCGTTTCATCAGAGGTACAGGGCTCAATTAGATAAAGATTGGCAGCTGAGCTAGAATCTGTTGCGAATTTTTTCTTTTTCTTCTTCTTCTTTTTCTCCCCAAAGCCCCCCAGTACATAGTTGTATATTGTAGTTGTAGGTCCTTCTGGCTGTGCTATGTAGGACGTTGCCTCAGCATGATGAGTGGTACTAGGTCCACACCCAGGATCTGAACCGGTGAAACCCTGGGCTGGTGAAGCTGAGCTCACAAACTTAACCAACTTGGCCACGGGACCAGCCTCTGAAAGAACTTTTAATAGTCTATGGCCTAGGAAGGTTCTCAACCTGCTCCCCAGCTTCGGCTTCACAACCACCCTCTTCACCACCAGAACCTAACTCCCTAAAACAAAAAGAGGCAGATCCTAATATTTCAACACGAAGAGACCTCAAGTCACATTACATTAAACGCAAGCTGGCAAACACGCATGTGATCCCCCAGATGGTGTGTGTGCGTGTGCGAGGTTCTGAAAAGACACACAGTGATAACCACAGATATCATGGCTTGGGAAGCAATACTGTCACATTTACAGGCAGGTGTAAGAAGTCATGCAGAGATCCTGAGTCCCCTTTACCCAGTCTCCTCCAGTGGTGACATCTTGAAAAACCACAAAGCACAACATCACAGCCAGGACAGTGGCACTGACACACTCCAGGATCTTATTCCCACCTCCCCAGTTTTACATGTACTCCTGCATGTGTACTTCCTCAGACATGAAGGGTCACGCATCCACCACCACAGTCAAGAGACAGGGCAGTTCCACCACAAGGATCCCTCGCGTCGACCTTTTTAACCGCACCTACCCTCCTTCCATCTCCTCCCAACCACGGCAGCCACTCATCTTGGTCATTTCAAGAGTGTCACAGAAACAGGGCGACAGTGTGTGACCCCTGGGTGTGGCTCCCATCACTCGGCACAACCCCCTGGAGGACACAGGATGCTGTGCAGGTGCAGAGCTGGCATGTGATGGCCGCCACAGGGGCTGGCAGCCACCTCCAGCTGTGACAAACAAGGCGGCTGTGAACACCACTGCATGGGCTGTGGTGAGCACAGGTCATGTCCTCTCTGTGACAAGCACCTGGGCCTCAGGTGCAGGGCCTCAGGTGCAGGCCGCAGGGCCTCGGCTGCTCCATTTTGTAAGGGCTATCAAGCTGCCCATCCACCAGCACAGGGCATTCTCTCCGCAGCCACATTCAGTGGGCCCCAGCGTACTGCCTTCAGCCGTGCCCACAGTGTGGAATGACTGCTCAAATCTCTCACACAAGATTATTTAGGAGGTTAAAAACTGAAATAAGACGTAATCCATGCATATTTAGTAGGGATTTTGAAAAACATAGAAATGTATAAAAAAGGAAATAAAGTCCTGTTTCTTCTCTTGAAAAAAGAAGCAATGCTGCTATTCACTCCTAAATCTGCGTACCCAAGCTGCAGACACACGGGGCAGACTCTGTTGCTCTGGTCTGGAACAGAGGCTCCACTCCACCCCGCACACCTCCACTAACCCCGACAGCCCTTGGCTTCGGAGGGACCTCCTCAGTCCTCCTCCTTGGAAGCTGACAGCTGCAGAGGAGGGCACAGCAGCCTTGGCCAGACCAGGGTGAGAGCTCTTCACATAGGGACCACACAGCACCAGGACCGCCAGGCGGGCCCACGGCTGCAGGGCAGTGCCCGCGTGCACAGGAGGGCGCCGAGTTTGGCTCCTGCACCCATCGCCTCACTCCCACTGGAGCAGGGCTGCTTGGCCACTGTGGCGTCTACAAAACCTCTGAGAGCCCAGCAGAGCCTGGGGGCCCCTCGCAGAGGAACAAGTTTAAATGCAGAAAATAAAAACAGAGAGCGACCAGGTCATACATCGAAACATTTTTTGAAACAAACGTATCAGATAGCACTCAACAAAACCTCAGGAGGATGAATATAAAGAGAGCGCGAGATACTGCAAAACCGCAGTGTGAAAGGAAGTCTGATTCCTCCTTGTGCCAAAGCTGGGGTCCTGGTGACCCTGCGGCGTGGTCACTGCCCACTCTAACAGAAGGAAACCTTACGTGTCACTTAGGAGTTAGTGAAGATAAAGACAGTCTTTTTCTAGCCAAGTTCACAGAGTCTCCGAATCCCCAATTCCACAGAACCAGGAAGAACAGGACCAGGTCTCGTCCCCAAGAGATGCTCCCAGCCACCCTGGGCCTGCGTTCTCAGGAGAGGAAGCCGTCCCCACACAGCCACGGGGGCGAGTCTGGGCCCCAAGCCAGGGCGCAAGGAGAGGATGGCTGGCATCAGCTGTTCTAAGGCTGCTGAGAAGGAAGCACAGAGTAGTGGCCCGGTCCGGGACCCCAGCACAAGGTCGGGGGGAGGGCTGGGCCTGGGGTGGGCTGGAGCCAACTCAATGAAAGAAGACCTTCCCTAAAAGCTGAGGTGACGGGGCCTCACCTGGCCCAGTCCATCTGGGGAAACTTGAGCCACTTCTATTTAATGCCCAATTTTCCTGCTTTAACCGCCTGGGTAGGTGGGGGAACAAGGTTTCTCGGGAAAACCCCAAGTGAATGTCAGGAGCCAAGGAGCACACAGTGTGTTTCTGGAAGGGCATGCTCACCTTGGTCAGTGCAAAGGCCACCGTCCCATCGTCCTCAGTGGAGAGATCAAGCAGCTTCTGGTAAAACGCTTCATCATAAGGCCCATCTATTTGCAACGTTTTTCTGAAGGAAAAAGCACCAAAAAAACAGGATGACAAAGCTGCCTGGGCTTGTTTCTTAAACTGCTGACAATGGAACAGTCACACGTCTGCTTTAAAGAACATCGAACGGGCCCTCCTCTCGCTGATGCTAAACCTGGTTCTGAAGCAGCAGTTTTAACAGGGTTGGGAACCCAGCAGGCCGGGGCCGACAGTCCTGCATTTATGACAAATGGTGCCCGGGCTGGAGACCCTAGTGAGGGGGCCGCGTGGAGGAAGGGGGTCCAGGCCAGGGGAACAGCCCTGGTCCTGCCACACGCCAAAGATGTGGACCCCAGGGATCCCCGTCAAGTCACCGGGGACAGACGAGGCTACGGTGAAGGACGCTGACAGCGCCGAGGGCTGGGCGAGCGACTGCTCAGTGGTGGAGCAGCACTGCCCCCTGCAGGCCTGCCAGGCTCACAGGACGTGCTTTCACTTCTAGAAGCAGCAAGTGACCACTGATCTGACAGGACCCTGGTCCTGCTTCCCATGGCACTGAGTCCACAGGCCAGGCCTGGTGCCTGGGGCAGGGAGAGGGGTGGCCAGATGGGCAGTCCTCCCAGGAGGCCTGGGCCGTCCTCCTGCAGGGCTCTCGCCACACTCCTGTCTTGCTCAGGGCTGCTTGGGGCCACACACAGGCCCAGGACAGGCAGGGCCGCCACCGGTTGGGCCTCACCTCTCCTCGGGAAACTCTTCCAGGTACCTCTCGACCCGCCGGTACAGAGGGTAGAGGCCTTCGATGTCCAGCAGGTCCAACATCTGCACCTGGAGGGTTTTGTACAGAAGACAGCCCTTCGGTAACCCCGAGCACTCCGGGGAGTTTTTTCCTACCAAGAACATCAGGGAAAAGGAGAGGTTTACTGTCGAGGACTGAAAAAGGCAGCGGCACAGACCGCACCCTGCCTCACGGAGCTGCTGGGACCAGGACTCGTGGGCACACGGGGCCAGGCACACAGCAAAGGGCGGACACCCATGTCCCCCCTATCTGTGCCTCTCCTCCTCTCAGCATCCTTGCCTCCCACCACACCAGCCCACGTCTAAGTCTACAGACAGACCTTCAGTCCAAATAAGAGAAGGCACAAAACGACCCCGACACCCCAAACATGCCGACATCCCCAAATACACAAGATGGCAACTGCAGAGCCCAAAGCCACAGCCCATGCAGACAGGCGGGTGACCACACCGAGGACGGTGGTCAAAGCCACTGCTGACAAGCTGGCAGCAGGGAGCCATCATCTCAGAGATGCTGGGGGAACAAAGGCCACTCCACACTCAAGCGTTCTTGGGTCCCCTGCCGGGGACCAGGTGCCACAAGGGCTGGAGAGAGACAGGGTCCGACCCATCTCTCACCCCTGGAAGGAGCAACCACATCCCATGAACAAAAAGAACAGCACTGCAGACGGTCCGAGTCCTTGCAGGGCGTAGCTGTGGCTGTGTGCGGTCCTGATGTGCTGACCGCCAAAAGACACACTTGCCACGTGGGACAGAATACAAGCACACGGACCCAGCCGGAGGGATCTGTTAAGTCACAGGCCGCCCACGCAGCGGAGCACCTCCATGTGGTCAGTGACAGTTCCAAACACACTTGCTGAGACTGATGGGTTTATGCTAATCAGGCAGAAACATCAGATTATGAAACAGCACGCAGAGCATGACCACACATCCTGCAGGTCACGCATGTGTCCAGGGGACGTCAGGAAGAAAGGTCCCCCGGGGTCAACAGTGCCCCAGCAAACAGCATCCACGTGGAGTCCTTCCAGACACGTTCCGTCTACTGAAATCCAGTTATGTGCCGAAGTATGAGCATAATTTCACCAAAATTTTCTAAGATGATCAGGTATCACTTTTGCAATAAGACAAAAACCCACAAAATTCACCTGTGCCGAGAAAAACTTGGCATGAGGGACAAAGGTGCTTTGTTGTGCCTGGGTGGCCGCAAGGCAAAAATGACAGCAGCTGAAAGCCACGTAGGAGCAGGGCTGCCGTTCCCCCCACATCACACCCTACGGTGTCATCAGGGCTCCAAGAGGGCACACGGGGCTGTAGGACAGACACTGAATAATCTGAGTCCCAAATAAGCTCCTGGCTATGGCTCCACGTACCACAGACCTGAGTGTGTCGTGGAGCCACCAGCAGATGAGAAAGGGGCAAACGCAGAGCCCGAGGACATTCATAGCAGAAACCCAAACCTGCCACCAGGCCGCCTTGGAGCCCGGGCGCCCCGGAGTCCCAGCAGCCCACTAGGGAGTCTGTGAGGACAGGGCTTAAAGGAAGAGGCACCTGGAGAGACAGTCCCCATGTGCCTGCGGTCACGCCTATCTGCGAACTGCTGCCAGCTGGGGCCACCCTCTGCCCTGAAGGGCCTTGCTCTATGGGACTCTGACTCCTGTGCCTCAATTCTCCATGTCTAAGAAACAGGCCAAGGAAAACCCACCCTCAGGGCCACAATGAGGATGGAGGGGACAATGCAGAGAAAGCGCTCAGCAAACCACAGAGGATGCAGACACGTGGGATGGTATTTCAGGGAAAGCCCTATGGCCCACACGTGTGCTGCAATTAACAAATCCATGTGAAAGATGAGGGATGGAGCCTCCCACCCCGGGGGCTGCAAGGTGAGAGGCCAGGGCTGGGGAGCCCTGGTGTGCCCAGGCTGCTCCTGCAGAAGCTCCGTGAGGCCAGGCCGCACCCTTGCCCGCCCACCTACCCACCCAGACCTACCTTGGCGGCGCAGTGTCCTGCTGAAAGGGCTGGCTTCACAGACACGTGGGCCCTGTGGCCCAGGCCCCAGCCTCAGGGCGCCCACCCGGCCCTTGTCTGAACCACTCAGCAGCACCCGCGTGATGACGCGCACCAGCTCCCGGATCACGGCCCTCGTGCAGTTGGGCCCACCGGCCAGGCCGTTGGATGGGAAGAAGAATGGCTTCAGGTGGCGGGCAAGCTCCCTCCGGTCAGCCACCGGGCCACGGGCGTCTGTGCAGCCGTAAATCAGCTCACCGTTCTTCCGGTGGGGAGGGAGACAGGGGATCGTCAGCCTCAACAGCCCGGCAGGAAACCACCTCACTCCCCACCACTGGCAGGCGAAGGGAGGCGACATTTCACACGGGCCCTGTCCGACGACACTGCACACTGCAGCCCTGCGGGGACACCCACCCTCACACACAATGTCACTGACCAACAGGCAAATCCCAAGGAATGTGAAAACGAAGAAAAGTTCTAAAAACTGGAGACCAGAGTCCTGGCCTGAAACGCAAACCCCGAGACCAGGACAGGCAGCACACTGGCAGCTCAAGCAAACTCGGCCTGAGGCCCAGACTCCCAGAGACCCAGCCCATTACTCGAGAGGCTGCGTGACATGGTGCCACCAAGGGGGACACGGCGTCAGTCCAACCCTGAGCGGGCAAACTTCCGGCCAGGGTGGACGTCTGTCGGCCGCCAGCATCCCAGAGGGCTTCTGTCCTCTCTGACAGGCTGGGCCTGGCTCCCGCCAGAATGGAGAAAGTTGCCAGCATCACTAATGTGGAAATCTTCATCTTCAAGGCCATCTTGCCTTCTAAAACCAAGTCCAGCAAAGAAACCCCTTATGGCACCAACATTCTCAGGGCTGCAGGCAGGAACGCCCAATGGGCCTCACCCCAGGACTTTTCTGGGGGCCTCTGGTGTCTAGGGTAAAAGCCCCTAAGGGATCCCTGGTCTCCACAGATCTGAGCAGCAGCCAACCCTGGGGAGTGACGAACAACTTGCACCCAGTTTCCCATCTGTGAGACGGTATAGTCAGCAGCCTCCAGACGGTCCCCACTGGCCCCCTCCCTCGACAATCACACCCTGTAGTCCTCTCCAGGAGGTCTGGTCTGTGTGACCAACAGAATACAGGCAGAACAACAGACCATCCCTGGCAAGATTAAGTTATAAAAGATGCTACAGCTTCCGTCTTGATGGCTCTCTTCTCAGACCACAGCGGCCACACTGAGCAGCCCCGTGGAGCCCCATGTGGCCAAGAACTAATGCCTGCTGCCCATAGCTGCAGGCCCATCCTGGGAGCAGGGCCCCTGGCCCCAGCCAAGCCTGCAGATGGGATACAGCCTCAAGAGGAACCCTGAGCCAGAACCAGCTATGCTGCTCCTCAATTCCGGAACACGGAAACTGTGAGATGACAAGTGGCTGTTGGGCAGCAGTGATGAGACAGACGAGGACAGCCCCTGCTCTACCCTGAGCTGGTGAATGGGGTCCACCCAATCCAAGAAGAGGTGTGGACGGGGCATTCCTTCAACAGCGAGGTTAGGATTCAGCAGCATCGTGCCTCTCCTGAGAGGCCCCTATCAGAACTGTCAGAGCTCACAGGTGTGGGTGTCTAGGGCAGTGGGGACACAACTGAGGCCACTGCTGGCCACGGGACCAGGGGAAACCACTGAGAGACGCTGACCCTTGAGACTGCCTTACAGCGGGAGGAGATGTACCCAGCAAGGGGAAAGTGGGAGCTCCTGGGAGGAAAGCAGGCCAAGACAAAGTGCCGAGGCGAAGCCAGGTGCCAGGGGCTGGGGCAGCCTTAGCCCGTCAGGATGCTGGCCCTTGAGCAGGTCAAGGAATCAATGTCACATACTCCAGGAGTTTCAGGATGCCAAGCCCGTGGAACTAAAGGACCATGCCCAGACACCCTCATCTTCAAGGTCACAGAGCCCCATCAGGGACCAGAGCACCAGAGCTCACTTGGCTCAGTCCAGACACCCAGTGGCCCCACCCCAGAAGTGCCATAAAACAGAAGCAACTCTTACCTTAAAGATCTTTAAGTTGTTCTGGGCCTCCTGTAACAAGCTTTTCAAGGCAAAGTGCATTCTCTGCTTATTTCTAAAAGGGGAAAGTTTTGATAGAATTACAAGCAGTCTTTGCTTCTGCATTCACCTGCCTCTGGCTCAGGGGATGCGCCTGAGAGCAGCTGCTCAAGGTCTCCAGACTTTGCCGGTCAAGGAGCCGCATTCTCTCCACTCCTCCTCACAGAGGCACACACAACACGGCCCCTAATCCCCAACCTGCTCTCTGCCCCTTCTTCATGGCAACATCTCCCCAGCCTCTAGATCCCACAGGTAACCTTCGAGAACCTATGGAGGCAACCCTGACCCCAGGCAGAACCTGAAGCCCTACCCAGGGGCCTGGCTATCTGCAGATGAGTAGCCCCCACCTCACGGAAGGCCCCCCCCCACCACCCCCACCTCACAGAATGCCCTCACCATTGCCTCCACCTCACAGAATGCCCCCCCACCACCCCTACCTCACAGACTGCCCCCACCACCGCCCCCACCTCACAGAATGCCCTCACCGTTGCCCCTACCTCACAGAATGTCTCCCCACCACCCTCACTTCAGAGTGTCCCCACCTCAGAGAACACCCCCCACAACCCCTGCCTCACAGAGTGTCCCCACCTCACAGAAAGTACCCCCACCATCCCTACCTCCAGGGAAGGTGGCACTAAGGACAAAGGAGAAATGTTTTCTTACCCAGAATAGAGATCGAGGGGACAGTATTTACTTATCTGCTTCCACTTCCCAGTTGCCACCTGTTAAAAAACCACCGTATGGTGTCAGTGATTGGACTGGGGGCAGCACTGGGCTAACTCTTAACACACAGAACAGCCAAAGGACTGAGATGACACAGGTGGCTGAAGGTCCTAGCAGATGCCACCACCTCTGGGTGCACATCACTAGCTGGGGCAGGAGAGGGGGAGGGCTGGACTCCAACCCAAGGAAACCTCAACCCTCCTCTGAGAGCCTCACATGGCTGCCAGCCCAGCCCTCCACAGTGAGTAGGGAAGCAGAAGCAAGCTAAATGACATGGCTAAATTTTGGTAATCAGATGAATAAATCTTTAAAATTATAATATCCAGCAAAGTGAGGTGTGGCTAACAAGTAATTTTGTATTATCAGCAAGAAGATAAATTGGCACAACATTTTGAAAGGCAACTTGCTGTTTTCCATCAAAATTTTAACTGTGGGTGTGCCCTGACTTGGCAAATCTACGAGGAATCACCAGGTCAAGGATGTTCAAGGAGAAACCATATGTTAAACCACAAAACTAGTCTCAATAAATTTAAAAGACATGAAATCATCCAAGTGTTCTCTAAATTCAGTGGAATGAAATTAGAAATCAATAACAAAAGGGAATTTGAGAAATTCACAAATACGTGAAAACTGAACACATTCCTAATCAACAATGAGTCAAAGAAGAAATCAGAAGGGAAATCAGAAAATAAATTAAGACAAAAATGAAAACACAGGGGGCCCAGCCCTGTGGCCAAGTGGTTAAGTTCGCGTGTCCTGCTTCAGTGGCCTGGGGTTTCACAATTCAGATCCTACACGCAGATGTGGCACCGCTCATCAGGCCATGCTGAGGTGGTGCCCCACATAGCACAGCCAGAAGGACCTACAACTAGAATATACTACTATGTACTGGGGGGCTTTGGGGAGAAGAAGGAGGGAAAAAAAAAAAAGAAGCTTGGCAACAGATGTTAGCTCAGATGCCAGTCTTTAAAAACAAAAAGAAATGAAAACACAATATACCAAAATTTATGGGAGGCAGAGAAAAAGCAGTACTTAGAGGGAAGTTTATACTTGTAAACACCCAAATTAAAAAGAAGAAAGATCTCAAATCAATAACCTAATTTTCTACCCTAACAAACTAGAAAAATAAGACCAAACCAAATCCAGTGTAAGCAGAGGGCAGGAAATAGTAAAGATTAGAGCAGAGATAGATGAAACAGAGAATAAGAGGGAAAAATGGAGAAAGTGAACAAAACCAAAAGTTATTTCTTTGAAAAGATCAACAAATATGACAATCCTTTGGCTAGATCAAGAAAAAAAGAGGCAGGACTCAAATGACTAAACTCAGGAATGGAAGAATGGACAAAAGTATCAACCCTGCAGAAATAAAAAGAATTTTAGAGGAATACCATGAACAATCGTAAGCCAACAAATTAGAGGAAATGGACAAACTACACAACTACCAAAACTGACTCAAGAGAACATAGAGAATCTGAACAGACCAATAACAAGAGACTGAATCAGGAATCAAAACTCTTCCAACAAAGAAAACTCCAGGACCAGATGGCTCTACTCGTGAATTCTACCAAATGTTTAAAGAATCAACACCAATACTCAAACTCTTCCAAAAAACTGAAGAGTGGAGGGAAGGAACCACTTTCTAGTCATTCTGTAAAGCCAGTTATTACCCTGGTACCAAAACCAGACAAAAACATCACTAGAAACCAGTATCCCTTAAGAAAAAGTCCTCAACAAAAACTAACAAACCAAATTCAGCAGCATGTTGAAGGGATTATCCATGTATAATCATGTGGGATTTATCCTGAAATACAAGGGTGGTGCAACATATGAAAACCAGTCTACGCACTACATCAGATTAACAGGAAGAGGAAACACCTTCCGATCATCTCAGCTGATGCGGGCAGGACGAGCATTTGACAAAATTGACATTTCCATGTGCAAAAAAAAAGGAAACACTCATAAAGAACAACTATGACAGACTCATGGTGAATCCTACACTCTGGCGAAAAACTGAAAGCCTTGCCCCTAACATCAGAAACAAGATAAGGATGTCCACTGCAAATTCTAACCAAAGCAATTAGGACAAAACACAAATAAAGGGCATCCAGATTGGAAAGGAAGAAGTAAAACTATCTCTCTCTCTATTTACAAGTGATCTGATCATATACAGAGAAAATCCTAAGAAACTACCAAAAGAAAAAGAAAAATCAGAGCAAATAAGTTCATCAAGAAAGCATAAAAGATCAATATGCAAAGACCAATTGCATTTCTCACCTCACACCCATTAGGATGTCTACTATCAAAAGACAGAAAAGAACAAGAGTTGGCGAGGATGTGAGGAGATCGGAACTCCTGTATACTGTGCTGGGAATGTGCAATGGTCCAACTGCTCTGCAAAACAGCCTAGTGGTTCCTCATAACTAAAAGCAGAATTACCATATGATCCAGCAATTCTCCTTCTGTGTGTAGACCCCAAAGAACTGAAAGCAGAGTCTCAAGGAGATACTTGTACGTCCATGTTCAAAGTAGCATTATTCACAGCAGCCAAAAGGTGAAAGCAACCCCAGTGTCCATCAGTGGATGATGGATGAAGAAAATGTGGTAATACATTCAATGGAATATTATTCAGCCTCAAAAAGGAAGGAAATTCTGACACATATGACAGCATGGATGAAACTTGAAGACATTACGCTAAGTGAAATAAGCCCATCATAAAAGGTGAGCGACTGTATGATTCCCCTTATATGAGGTCCGTACAATAAGTAAAATTCAGAGATAAAAACTACAATGGTGGTTGCCAGGGGCTGGGGAAAGAAAGAAATGTCAAGTTTTTCAATGTACAGAGTTTCAGCTTTGCAAGATTAAAAACGTTCTGGAGACAGATGGTGGTGATAGCTGCACAACAACATGAATGTGCTTAACACCATTGAACTGTCCACTTAATGGTTAAGACGGTAAATTTGATGTTACATGTATTTCACAATTAAATGTATATATTAAAGAATCAGTTGTATTTCTATGCAATAAATAACCTAAAAATGAAATAAAAGAAAATTCCATTCACAGTAGCATCCAGAAATATAAAATACTTAAGAATAAATTTAACAAAGGAATTATAAGACTTCTACACTGAAAACTATAAAACATCACTGAAAGAAACTAAAGACCTAAATAAATGGAAAAAACATCCTGTATTCACAGATTATTAATACCGTGAAGGTGGCAATACCTCCAAGTTGATCCGCGCTTCAACAGGCTCCCTATCAACATCCCAGCTGAGAAAACTGAGAAGCTAAAGGCATTGAAATTGAAAAGGAAGAAGTAAAACTCTCAATTCACAGAGGACATGATCCTATACATAGAAAATTCCAAATAATCTACAAGAAAACTCCTAGGGCTAATAAACAAATTCAGCAAAGCTGCAGGGTACAAAATCAATGCACAAAAATTAGTTGTGTTTCTATACACCAACAATGAACAATCCAAAAAGGAAATTAAGAAAGCAGTTCCATTTACAATCACATTTATAATATTACAAAAGAACAAGATACCCAGAAATAAACTTCACCCAAGTAGTGAAAGACTTGAACACTGAAAACTACAAAATGTCGCTGAGAGAAATTAAAGGTCTAAATCAGTGGAAAGACAGCCTGTGTTCACCAGTTATAAGACTTAACATCATGAATACAGCAGTACTACCTGAAGTGGTCTACTGATTCCTGCAGTTTCAGTCAAAATTACATGTCTTTTTTTAAAGAAATGAAAAATCCAATCCTCAAATTCATATCTAATTGTATGGGCCCCCAATAGCCAAAACAATCTTGAAAAAGAAGAACAAAGCTCGAGGACTCACATCTCCTGATTTCAAAACTTATAATAGGGGCCAGCCCCGTGGCTGAGGCTTGGGCGGCCCAGGGTTTCACTGGTTCGGATCCTGGGCGTGGACGTGGCACCGCTCATCAAGCCATGCTGAGGCGGCATCCCACATGACACAACTAGAAGGAGCCACAACTAAAACTACACAACTATGTACTGGGGGGCTTTGGGGAGAAAAAGCAGGGGGAAAAAAAGAAGAAGAAGAATATTGGCAAGAGTTGTTAGCTCAGGTGCCAATCTTTAAAAAGAAAAGAAAAAAATAAAGTTATAGTAATCAAAACAGTGTGATCTGGCATAAAGACAGATATATAGACCAAGAGAATAGAATAGAAAATCCAGAAATAAACCCTCACATATATGGTCAAACAGTTTTCCACAAGCGTGCCAAGGCCACTTGATGGAAAAAGACAGTTTTTTCAACAAACGGTGCTGGGAAAACTGGATATCCATAGGCAAAAGAATGAAGCTGGACCTCTTCCTCACACCATATACAAAAATTACCTCAAAATGAGTCAAAGACCTAAACATAAGAGCTAAAACTGTACAACTCCTAGAAGAAAACATAGGGGAAAAGCTTCATGACATTGCATTAGGCAAAGTTTTCTTGGATATGACACCAAAGGCAGAGGCAACAAAAGAAAAAGTAGACAAATTGAACTTTATCAAAATTAAAAACTTTTGTGCATTAAAGGACATTATCAACATAAAAAAAAGGCAACCAACAGAATGGGAGAAAATATTTGCAGATCACAAATCTGATAAGAGATTAATATCCAGAATATATAGAGAAGCCCAAAAACTCAACAAAAAAAAACCACCCGATTCAAAAATGGACAGAAGACTTAAATAGACATTTCTCCAAAGAAGATAAACAAACGGCCAATGAGCATGTGGAAAGATGCTCAACATCACTAACCATCCATTAAGGAAATGCAAATCAAAACCACCATGAGACACCCCTGCACTCATTAGGATGGCTATAATCACAAACAGGGACAATAACAAGTGCAGACAAGGATGAAATTAGAACCTGCATACCCTGCTGGTGGGACTACAAAATAGTGCAATAGCTGTGGTAAACAGCCTGATGCATCCTCAAAAAGGTACAAAATTTCCCTAAGACCTAGGAATTCCACTCCTAGGAATTTACCTGAGAGAACTGAAAACCGGGACTCAAACAAGTACATGTACACGCACGTTCACAACAGCCGAAAGGCGGAAACCCACATGTCCCTCCACAGATGAAGGGACAGACGGAATACCCCCACACAAGGGACTGCTGATCAGCCACCAAAGGAGTGAAGTGGTTAACACGCTACCACATGGATGAAGCTCACAACCATTACGCCAAGTGAAAGAGAACAGTCACAAAAGGCCACATGCTGTGTGATTCCATTGAAATGAAATGTCCAGAACAGGCAAATCCACACAGACAGGTGGTTGCCAGGGGTTGGCAGGATGGGGGACTGGAAAGCAACTGCTAATGGGGACAGAATTTTTTTTTGAGGTGATGAAAATGTTCTGGAATTAGATAGTGGTGATAGTTGCACGATCCTCTGAATATACTAAAATCCACTGAATTATACTCCTCAAAAGGGTTCATCTTAGGGTATATGAATTATACCTCAACTTAAAACAAAAAAAAAGGGGCTGGCCCAGTGGTACAGCGGTTAAGTTTGCATGTTTCGCTTCGGTGGCCCGGGGTTCGCTGGTTCAGATCCCAGGTGCAGACATGGCACCGCTTGGCAAGCCATGCTGTGGTAGGCGTCCCACATATAAAGTAGAGGAAGATGGGCACAGATGTTAGCTCAGGGCCAGTCTTCCTCAGCAAAAAAGGGAGGCAGATTGGCAGCAGATGTTAGCTCAGGGCTAATCTTCCTCAAAAAAAAACCAAAAGGTGAATATGAACTATTTGTGGAAAAAAGTAAATCATAAATATCTACATTTTCTTCATTCTTCTGAAAACTCTAGGTGGTCACACCTCAGGCCCAGCCACCCATCACAGCTCTGTGCATGGAAGGAAGCTGGGCCACCAGCTCTTCTCACCTTGAGGTGCTGGTGCATGCAGTAACGACACACCTTATGCTTCATCTCATGCGTAACATCACTGGAGAAGGGGATAAACCCACATTTTGGCTGCAAAATAAACAAGGGAGGAAAAATTGCTCAGGGAGAAATCACATACCTTTAAGTAGATATATAACTAACTGTGGTCACGTGCCACAGAACAATCTTTCGGTCAACTATGTACTGCACATGTGATGGCGGTCCCATAAGATCAGCACCACACAGCCTAGGTGTGCAGGCTACACCATCTAGGTTTATGTAAGTGCCCTCTATGACGTTTGCACAACCACAAAATCACCTAATGACGTGGTTCTCAGAACATATCCCCATCGTTAAGTGACTCATGATTGTACAAGACAATGAAGTACAACACCCAGGAGAATCAGCAAGCGTCAGATGTAAACATTCCCGAAAGCTGCTTTTATCTTCAGGCCCCAGTAGGAACTGATGCTTCCCTCACTGTATCATATACTCACCTCTGCTGCTAGAGAATCCAAGGCCAGACTCTCAGTGGGGAAAAAAGTGGTGCCTCAATTGCTGGCTTGACAAAGTACAGCACAGAGTGTTTTCATTACAGAAGGCGACTGGAAAGACTCTGGGAGTGCAGATCGGCCTCGAGCCCCCAGCTCCAGGAAGCAGAACCCCACTCCCTCTGACAAGAACTCATGAACAGGGAGGCGGCCATTTGACAGTGGCTGGGCCCCCAGAATGTCTGGAACTCTGGTTGCCTCTCAAAAGCCATAGTTTCTGGACACATCCAATGTGCAAGACCCAGGCTTAGCATCGGGCACTAGAGACCACGCTGCCTGTCGTCTGTGATGCCTGGGACACTCACCCTCTGGTTGGGGAAGCAGAACATCAATCCAGGCTCTGAGTGCTCAAGGCCAAGGGCATAACCCAGAAGTCACCGCCACAGAGGTTTGGAGGAAAGAGACAAATAAAGGCCTGGCCTGGACGTCTGGGCTTCCTGAGGGAGACTCAGGCAGCCACCCTGGATGCTGGGCAGCAGGGCTGAGGCCTGGGGCCTGGCCCTTCTCCAGCCATCTCTGGCCTTTGTTGCCCCCACCTTGGGATTGCTGGCCTTGACAAACCAGGCCTTGAGAGTCACTCGGGTTTCTGTCCCTCTAGCGACGTCCCCCTGAGCAGGACTGAAGCAAAGGAACGGAGTGCCACTCAATCTAACAGGCGACCCTCGAAGTGAGCTCCAGGAACGTGGCGTACAGTGTCACCGAGCAGCCAAGAGGGCACAGCTGGGAAGGAGTTCAGGAGGGGCCTGCTGAGCTGCACCCACCAGGGAAAACAGGGTGGGTAGAACCCTACACACTTCCTTCAAGTGGCCGTCGGCCTGGGTTTGTCCCTGGCTGGCTCCCCATCATGAGCCTATCCCTGGGGGTCCGGGAAGCCATGCCCCTTGGGTCTGGCCGGTGGGACAAGCCAGAGCAGCAAGGTGATGGGGGCAGGCACGGAAGGAGCAGGAAGCCAAGTCTCTGGGAGCTGGTGGGCTGCCTGGGCCCGAGAGGGGATGCAGGGCCCAGCGTGGGGAACACCAGGAGCTTCTGTGGGAAAGTGCTCTCCAGGTAGCTGACTCACAGATTCCCTGCTCCCCACACCTTTTGTCCCTTAACAGAAGTTCACCTTGATCTCTACACACAGAATGGGCCGGTGCTCTGCAAAATGGTAGGTCTGAAGTCGGGCTAAATTGGGAAGGCACAGAGCATAACCACTCAGAGTGTCCAGGTCCTTGTCACAGCGAGATTCTGGAAAAGAGAGCAAGGAAAATACCTGAGAACCACTGCAAGAGAGATCACCAGACCCTGTGGCAAAGTGCGGCCCCCTGTGTGGCCTCCTGTGGAGGAGGAGCCAGCTGTGCCCAAGAGAGGCCTGGCCTTGGCCTCCGCGTCCTGGAAGGTCATTTCTAAGCCTGGACATCCTGCCTGAGGAGCGTCTGTGTTTGCCGTGGAGGCTGAGTCACATGACTGTAACACCGAGATGCGTGCTAGGGTGTGGGCCCTGCAGGATCAGCTTGACGTGCGGAGGGGCTGGGGGTTGAGGGCAGCCGCAAGGCAGTCAGTGTGTCCACACACCAGGCCCCAACAAAACCTGGACACCACAGCATGGGGAGCCTCCCTGGTTGGCGTTCCTCCATGCGTGTGGCCACACATGGCTGCTGGGAGAAGCAAGTGCTATCCATGACTCCAGCAGGAGAGGACACCGGGAAGCCATACCAAGTCTCTTCTGGACCCACCCCAGTGCCTCATCCCTCAGCTGGCTTTAATCTGTGTCCCTTTGCTGTGACAAGTCATAACCAGGAGGATAACAGGGAGCTCTGTGGAATCCTTCTAGCAAATTATCAGACCTAAGGTTGCTGCTGGGGACTCTGAAACGTGCAGTTGTCAGCAAAATGAGGGTGGTCTCAGAGACTGCACCCCAGTTCTGTGACGCGCCTCAGCCAGGCGCTCAGAGAGGAAGAAGGAGCAGGCTCTACCTTCCTCTTGAAGCTGCTCCTTCAGAGAGCCCAGACGCAGCTACTCCCTGAGCACTGGCTGCAAGCAGCTGCAGTGGACAGGCACGGAGGGTGGGCCTCCAGGCCCAGGGGAAGCGGCTTTCTTCCTTCTACCTAACGAGGCTGACGACAAGTCATCATCACAACGGGGGACAGTCCTCATTACTATCCAGTGGCACAAACTTATATGCTAAATATAAAATGACGATGGTAAGGGGCGCTGGCAGCTGGGGGGCAGACCCCAGAGCAAGCCTCAGTATGTCTTCCTCTAAATGAGGAAACAGCCCAGACACAGTCGCAGCTCTGAACACGGCTGCGGCCTCCCTCCCTCTCACTGGCCCTTTCCACACGTGGAGCCCTGTCATCGCTGCTCCCCAAACAGGAAGCTCCAGGGCACAAGTGTGCTGCTTGCTTTAATTTTCCTAATCAAATACGGAAGGATTTTTACATTGGCAACTGTACCCTGACTGCCTGACACGTGTCAGGAGAAGGTAATTCCATCCTCTACTATACAGACTTTATGCCTTTGTCTCTGACTGTGAAAGGAATGCCTTAGAGCTGGTTGCCGTCATTACCGAAGGAACAAAATGCAGCAAAGATGCAGCATGAGATGATGGAGGGGGAAGTACATAGGCGACCTTGGGGAGGGTACGCCAGGCGAGGTACATAGGGGATGGGGGGAGGGTATGCCAGGCAACCAGGGGAGGTACATAGGGGACGGGGGAGGAACGGCCCACAAAAATTCATGTCTCCCACCTTCCCCGGGGAGGACAAGCAGGCCGGGCAGATTCCAGCTTCTGGGAGAAGATCCTCAGGACTGCCGACCCTCTAGCGCCTGGCCCACACTCCATGGGTCAGGTCCACCCTGGTTTTCCTTTTGACTTCTCCAGGCCACCTGCAGCTACTTTCCCTTCCCCACGTGCCCCCTAACTCCTTCAGCTCCCTCCCAAATGCATCTTTGTTTCTCTTAACTGGTTGTTGGTCATCTATCCTCCGCAGTGATCCAGGTATCCGATGCCCAGAAGTGTATTCACCAGCTCCTAGGGTTCCCACCTGTGAGAGTAAGCCTCTGGCAAAAGAACTGCTGAAATCTACATGTGCCTGACATTAGCGATAACGTCTAACACTCCTCAAATGGAACACGTAAAATTACAAACAAAATTTGTGTTAGAGACCCTTACCTGGTCTTTCAGACTGTACCTTTAAACAGAGCTGCTTCACAAAGTCCAGAGGCAGCTGAACAACTTCCTGTAAAAACAAACACAAGAGGCTCAGAGTGGGCCGCACAACAACGCAATGCCACAGAACTGAGCACCTAAAAAGTTAAGATGGTAAATACTATGTCACGCATATCTGACCACATGACAAAAACACTAGTGTGTGGGTTTCAGGACGGAAAGCCACCCTCTCACTTCACAGACACTTCCAGAGTAAACCCAGGCACTGATGTTCCCGTGCGCTAAGAGCCACGGGCCCTCCTCAGAGCGGCTGGCGGCCCTTGTGGTGGTGACCAGCAGCACAACCCAAGGCACCCAGTCAGTCTGCCCAGAGCACCCCTCATACGCCGATCCTCTGCTCACCGCGACCTTGGCTCAGTCCTCATCCTCGCAGTGTCTGGGGACGCCAGGGCAGGGCCAGAGGCAGGTCTCTGCCTGCACTAACGTTCCTTACCAGCTGTCTCCTCAGACAACCCAAGGCTTCCCGCACTCCTGCCCAAGCAGGAGCTCGAAAAGAGTGATCGCACGTCAATGGCCAGTGAGACGTCCCTGCACCCATCAGCCACGGGACTCACGGGGACAACACTCAGTGCATTTGGGCGAAAAACAAAGAGCAACTTCTCTCCACTTTGCTGTTTCTTTGCAATTTCCCAAAGTAAGAGTTTTTATTTAATCCACCATGTTCCCCATGCTTCCAGGGTAGTAGCATTCTAACTTCTGAAGAAGCCCCACAGGGATGCAAGAGACCTGCCTAGAATGAGAATGCCGGGATCCTGTCAGAAGGTACATCACGCCTTCTCCATCCCACACTGTCACATGGCTGCCCTATCACACGGATGTACCCATGCTGGCCCGTGGCTGCCCTGTCACATGGATGCAGCCACGATGGCCCGTGGCTGCCCCATCACATGGATGCAGCCACACTGGCCCGTGGCAGCCCTGTCACATGGATGCAACCACACCAGCCCGTGGCTGCCCTGTCACACAGACATGCCTCTGCCGTCCAGCCTGGTGGAGTCAATCGTCTGCTTCCCAGCCTGCTGTGCCAACTTAAGTCGTGATTTTGTCATTTACATAAAGATGGTATAAACTGATAAAAGTTGAGTTACTAAAAAACTTGGTCCTGAATTAGGTAAAGTGAAACAATGAAAAAGAGCGGGAATTATAAAAATTCAGAATTCAAAATGTGGATCATCTCACAAAATCCAAGTTCTCACTCCACTTTAAAGAAGCCAAAAGTACAAGTGGGCAGGTGACAGATGGATGCCATGGCAAGAATGATAAAGAAATGCACCAAGATCCTCTCTCAAAGAAATGCCTTGGCCTGCGCACCACGAGAGCAAGCCTAAGAGGCCAAGGCAACCTGCTGCAAACGCCTCCGTCAATGCACAGTGGGAGTCCCAACACTCACCCGCTGGGAAAAGAAGTTGTGGCCAACAGAGGAGTCATCAATGCCGTGACAGAAACATGGGGAGGAGCAAACAGGATCGAGTCCAGAGCCCTCAGTGACTCAGCTACTCTCAGCACAGCATCTGCTGCTGCTCAGCCTAAGTGCACAGTCACCAAGGTAAAAAGCAGATCTGTATTTCTCTACACAACTTTAAATCCCTGATTTTATGAGTTCTGTTTGTGTTTTAAGTGAGAATAAAATGTTGACAGTAGGCATCCTTCTTAACATTTGGCTACATTTACCAAGCCATCATCCAGATTCCTGAACCAGTTTGAACCACGCCATCCTGACTGACAGATGGAGAAACAGGCGGCCCCTACCCAACCCTGGGAGGACGGTGATCCTCAGCAGGGCCCTCCGCCAGCACCTGCACAAAGTCTTAACTCAGGAAGAACCACAGTTAAGACCACAGAAGTCCTCTCACAGACATGTAACTTGGAAGGCGTGGCCACACCAGCTTCCTGCTGACGGGCATACGCCCCCAAAGGGAGGGCTGCTGAGAAGGACAAAGAGCCGCCATCCTGGAGGGGGCTCAGCAGGTGAGCAGCACGCCTACAGTCTTCCAGAAGCTCCCTCAGGAGAAGAGCATCCCCTTACTCATCATGCACCATGGCCCCACCATCGCTTCCATCACATCAAGGTCAAATGTGAAGTCGAGGCCACCCGGGTGCCATCCAACCTGGGGAGGACTGAGTCCACAAAAATGAGGTGAATTTCTAAAACTCCATCAGTGTCTCCGCTACCCTTGGTACTCAGGATGCAAACACCTGGAGGCACCAGGGAACCACCTCTTCCCATCTCTGACCTCCAGCTCACATGGAGACAGGCCCAGACCAGTCCCCAAACCAGCTGGGCAGGGCCAGAGGCAGCATGGGCACAAGAGCTGTCACTCTCTCCGGGCCTCGTGCTCTCACCGCTGGGCTGGTTGTGTCTCGTCCCAGGACACAGAGCATGGACGTGCTCTCGCCAGGGCTCTGCTGCCCTAAATCGAGTCAGCGTCAGAGAAAACAGCATCATTTACACATGCTGGTTTTGCCTGAACATGGCCTTGTGCAGGCCAGAGACGTGCTGTGTCCCACATTTCAACCATCCAGGGCCTGAGTGGCAGTCCTCTGGGGACACCACGTCCACCTGGAAGAAGAGCAGGCTGGGTTCACTTTGGCAGTGTCTTCGTGTGGAGGAGGTGCCGACGGGACAGACATTCTTGAAATGTGACCTTGTAGGCTCACCTCGTACACCCAGAGCCCCATCCACTGTGGACAAACAGAAGCAATCCTGGAGCCAGAGCAGGCCCCGGGCCCTGGGGAACATGCTGATGCTGTTCCCACCTGCCAGGCCACCGTCGGCCAGAACCCCTAGCTCCCCACCACCCTTCGTCACCACTGACCCCTCGAAGGAGAAAAGTCTAGAGCCCCCGCCTGCTGTGAAACAGAGAAATGTTCCCACTCAGCCAGGCGGACACGCTCCCTCGAGGATGCCGGTGGTCGGCACATCTGCATCCACTCCAACCATCCAGGCCAAGAGGCGGGCAGCGCCCAGCACAGGCGACTCAGAGACCTGGGTACTCTCACAGCTGGTGGGCTTCAGGCTTTCACATGTCAGCTGGACAGCTGGGGACCTCACTGGGGGTGGTGCCAGCCCCCAGGACTGCCCTGGCGACTCTCACCCGTGTAGTCCCACACTGCCTAGGGCTTCCTGCAAAGCTACTGGGATGCCGTGGACATGACTGACATGATGCCAGGCCAGTTCATCTCCCAGATCGTGTGCTAGGGGAGCCAGGGCTGAGTCGCAAGGACACCCAGAGCCCTGTGGTGAGTCTATGCGGGAGACACTCAGGGCCCCAGCCAAGAGCCAGCACGGCCCTGCCAGCTCCACAGCTAGGCCACCTGGAAGAGGGTCGCAGCCCCAAGGGTGCGACCCCCCACAGTACATCCTGAGCTGACAAAGGACCCTCCTTGGAGGAGGTTTTGCAGTCAGAGCCACTCAAGTTCTACTTTGGCAGGCAACCCTTAGGCTTCAAAGAACCTTCTGCCTACCCTCAGCACCGTTCCTCTCAGGATGGATACCAGGTGCAGTGTTTGCAAAGCAGAGGCAGTGCTCTCTGCTCCGAATGACAGCCCTGCTAGTCTGTCAGGGCTCTGACATAAGACAAGTGACAGGGCCAGCAGAAGCAGAGAAACAGCGGCCAGCAAAGCTGCGAAGTCAGAACGGGGTCCCAGGCATGGACGGAGGCCACCTGATGAGGGTCTCGGGAATCGCAGGGCCACTGTGGCTTCCTATATGGCCCATTCCTGAGTGTCCAAACAGCAGGCCTCGCCTGTAACAGCCACTCCGCTCAGTTACCGAGAGGGGAAAGAGCCAGCAACACAGACCACTTGCAGGCGGGGACTGCTGTCCCAGCAGAGGCAGAGGCCTGAGGGGTGCGTGTGGGCCTCACTGGAGAGCCCTTGGCAAGCTGGATGCCTCCACGAGGGCAGGGAGGCAGGGACCAGGGTTCCGGCAGGCGGGGGGTCTCACACGGTCTTTGAACCTCACGCCTCTCAGCTGGAAAACAGGGATAACACAGCTGCTCCGCCCCTCACAGTGCCGCAAGCGATAAAAGTGCCTGGAGTCTGTGATGGACACAGGGCCCCACTGAGCACAGAGGCCCCCGCTGCATTGAGGAGCGGGGTTACTGACACAGAAGGTGCCCATGAACTCAGGCCACATGAACAGAAATCACTTACCCCACAATGAACATAGTTCTCCCCTAAAAACTCTTTCATGACATTTTTGCCAAAGTCCACTATGCTCTGTAGGTGCTGAAAGATCTCCTCCGGGGTCTGTAAAAGAGAAGCACAGGAAGCCTTGGTGCCTGGGCCCCCAGGGGAGCGACCCAGATACCACCACCAGCCTGGCACATGCAGGGTGGACACAAACACAAACAGGTGGCCCTGGACTCAGAGGAAGGCAAGCCTCGCCACAGAGACCGCTGGACCTGCTGGAGCTCCTGTCCACAGGCCCCAGGCCCGCCCCTGCATCCTACACAGCCCTGTGTGATTCCAGCCAGCAGGCTGAGAAGCACGTCTGCGCCCCCACCTCCCCCAGGAACACGCAAGAACCCACCAGTAGCCCATGCACACCTCCTGAGGAATTCAACTTTGAAAATGTCTCCCGCCAAAAATCACTAGGTATTTAGATTTTCTTCTTCAGCCTCTAAATGTAGAATAAAATATTTTCTCCCCAGTCAGAGGTTCTTAAAGAGGCAATAAGCTGTGAGATCTGGGTAAGACAGGAAATCAGCCTGCGTCCCTAACCCTGACCCAGGGCACTGAGAAGTTCAAGGGGCAATGGCAGGTCTCTCAGGAGCCAGCGGGCCGTCCTCATCAAGGGCAGCCTGGGAGGTGCCTAATGCAGGCTCAGGTCCGAGTGAGCTGCCACCCGCGCCGCAGGACACATGCAGATGGCAGCCTGTGTCCTGGGGCACGTGCAGCACAACCATGTTAGAGCAAAGCCTGATGGCAAACCCCAGAACACATCCAGGGGCTCCGCATAGGTATGGCCGCAGAGCTTCCGACGGAAGCTCTTCTTGTCGACAGATTTACCATACATGACTCCCCACCATTTATATATGTTTATGCAGCCGTTTATACAGTAAATAAAGGCAAATGGTTGCCTTGGAAGGCCTCACCCCAACAAATGTAAACAGGACAGCTGAGAGGCAGCCAGGGAACGCTGGCCCCCCTGCAAGGCTGCGCTCAGGAGACACTGAGCGGGGCAGGAGGGAGGCTGGAGGCCAGAGCCCTTCGAGTCGCTCGAGGAGCTTCCCCTTGGATGCACCCACAGGATCATGGAACCATGCGTGGGACCTCCCCAGCAGCTGAGGCAGGAAACGCCCCTCGCCCGGGCGGCCTCCCCCAGCACCCCCATCCTGGTACTGGCACTGAGTGCCTGTCCCCAGATGCCTGTCACAGCAGTCCTAGGCTCCCCCACAGTCCCCTCCTCTTTCTAGGAAGCTGACCCCCATGTGCCCTTAATGTCCAGAGCCAGCCGGCCACGCCTCTTCCTTTCTGGAGGTCTCTCCCTAAAGCCAAGGAGGCGGTGACTCACCTCTCCTGCGCCCCCTCTTGCACCCAGTTCCACTCACCACCACTGGCCGCCCACTGTGCGGGTGTGAGCGCAGCTCCTGCCTCTTCTCCCCTCTTAAGACAAGAGCTCGTGCTTTGGAGGGGCTCACAGCCAGCCTCTCTCACCTCCTTCCTGCCCTCCCCCCGGACCCTGAGAGAGAACGGCTCCCGCAGGCCGACTCCACATCCTCCCCTGCGACCTCTGAGGATTAGACACACGCTACAGCAACATCCTGCCTCGAGGGGGAGATGCCGCAGCTCTGTGGTCACGGCGTGCCACAGGACAGCTGTGGCTTCTGAGGGCGTCCCTGGCACTCAGCTCTGTGACTCAGCGAATACAACCCAGCCCACCACCTGAACTGCCTGCTGTGACTTCTAACACTGACTATCTACCACAGCGTCACAGACTTCATTTTCACAGATACAATTCTACGGATGGGGAAACAGGCAGCAGGGTGTAAGGAAGTCACCACTGCAAAGCTGAATGAGACCTGGCCCTGGGCGTCCCAGCCACAAGAAGGGCTCTCTGAACCGGACAGGCAGCTGCCACTCAGCACCCAGGGACTCACCACCACAACCCACAGTAACCCAGCAGGTCGAAGTGACGGGTCCTGCAGGAAGGACAGGCACGCCACTTTCTGCACTGAGCCTGTATGGCTAAATCTCTGCAATTCGCATTAATACTTCTGCATCAGAAAACAACCAATGTTTTCTTAAATAATTGTTTTAATGACTGGGTGGCAAACCCACGGATCTTACCTTCTTCCTATTTGGAGGAAACTTGAGAAAACGCAGCACCACACAACGCTGGTGGGAAACAAAGCAAAGTCTGATTAGTACCCACCCGAGGCCGGGGGTAAGGGGGGCAGCTGCGGAGCAGGGCCGGCAGCTCCAGCGCACAGCTGGAGCCCCACCGACAGCCCACTGGCCTGGGACACCCAGTGCCGCCAGGAGGGTGCCAGCACCGAGTCACACGCCCAAGGACACGCTGGGGCTGTGGGGCAACCAGGAAAACCTGTGCGCCCTCTGACCTCGCCAGCCCACTCCCAGGAATTTATCCTGAGGAAATAATTAAGGATGCACAGAAGATTTCAACTCCTACATATAAAATTAGTGTTTACAATTCCAAATAAAATGAAAATGACCTAAATGTCCAACAATGATGGGATGGTTAAATACAGTGGGACACGTTCCAGACTATGGAATAGTGTGCTGTCATTTGTTAAAAAAAATAAGGAAGATCTGCATGTACAGACACAGGGGTTAAGTGTGTCCACTGATAAATGAAAAAGGTTCAAGAATAGGGCCTGTGGAATGAACCCATTCTCATAAATAGACACACACGTGTGTGCGTGTAGACGCAGAAACATCTCTGCATGGGAAGGTGACGCACAGGGCTAGTTCTATGCACGTAAAGCTCAAGGACGGGTGAGACTTCGATCCGGGGGTCCCCCCTCAGGCAGGTGAGACAGTCCCTGAGAACAGCTCTAGGAGGGGGGGATTATGGGTCCATGTACTTTGTGATAATCAAGCGATATACACACTCATGTCTCAGCACTTTCCCGTAGGTTTGTTACACTTTATTTTTTAAAGTTTGTAAAACAGAAATGTTTACATACAGTCTGGGCATGCTCAGTTTGTATGAAACATCTGAAAGGATTTCAGCACAGATGACAGTCTCCAGGGAGCAACATCTGGGATAACTAAATTTTTTTTAAGTTCTGCTTATTTGGGTTTTCTAATTTTTTATAACGTTCATATAACATACACTACAAGAATGTGAAAAAATAACTTTTCAAACAAGTACAGCTTTTGCGATGGTCATTCTCCAAGGAAATAACCTGGAGGTGCTATGGAGTTTCAGTAAGGGGGAGATAAAGTCCATCTGGAGGACTTCAGAAACCACTCCCACGGAGATGGGCGCTCCAGGCAGGGGGCGGTCCAGGAGGTGGGGAAGCCCAGCTGAGTCCAGAGAGGGCATGGGCCGAGGGAGGCATGTGGGTGCTATCAGGAGCCCTAGCACCTGGGTGGGGTGAGAGGGGCAGGCGACTTCGAGGCTCAGCAAGGGCAGCTTTCTAAACCAAACCATGCCTGAGAGCCGTGGAGACCGGATCTGTCTCCTAGCCCGCAGCCCCTCTGGCACCTCCTGCCCCGCCCAGAGGCACCGAAGCCTGACTGGTGAGCGCCAGGGCGCTGCCAGCTCACCAGGTCTGCACCAGCTGTGAAGGAAATAACTCCTTTCCTTTTGAACCAAATATCTGAAACCAGGTGTCAAAATGTACCGTCTTCCTATTCTGGGAAAAAACACTAAGAGAGTGAAGGGGCAGGGGTGAGATTAAGAAGACGGGCTTAAGTAGGTTTCTGCACAGGGCAGGTGGGGCAGCTCTGCACCAGAGCGGGACAGGGCACCAGGCCAGGGCCACCCCTCGGACACTAGATGGGAATCGATGATTTCAACAAGCTGAAGAAGCCAATGAGCAGGGGAGTGGCACAAACAAAACACATGCACATTAAACAACCTCAAAACGCACAAAGTGAAGGGAGCAACTTGTCACTTGTGAAAGGAGCAGAGGCACTCAGTACTCGAGGGTACCAGGCTGTGGCAGGGAGACTGGTACGTCGTGTGATCCACTCTGAGAAACCACCCGAGTCATCAAAACACCAAGGTGTCGGGCAAGCTGGGCGCTAACTGCTCCAAAGCACAAGCGTACCAAAGGCTGATGGCGCGGACCCCAGCTCCACGGCCTGGACACGTGTGTGAAGCACGGCCTGCGTGTCGATGCCATGGGGCTGAGCAGAAAAGCAGATGGCGGAAACAGACACGCGGGGTTCCTAAGTGCCAGTCAGGCCCATGATAGAAGGCAGAGCACCAAAGTGGGAACAAAAACTATTTTCCTAGTGGGGAAATATTGGGTGCTTTTTACTGTCCACCTTCCAATATTCTATGTTTTCTGGGGCAGAGAGAAAAAGCAATAATTGGTATTAAATAAAAATAAAAGACCACAAAAAACAACCTATTAAAAGGGACACCTGCTCACGTGAAGCCTGAGGGAGGGACCTGTGGTAGCACTAAGGCTCTGGGGCCTCTCAGCCAAGATGGGGGCGGGGAGAAGCGGATGGACAGGGACAGCCACCCGGTGACCTGCAGGCACCACTGAACGGGTCATCTCAGGCCACAGCCTCGCTGCCAGAGGACGGTCCCAGGTTGGGTCTTCTGTACAGATAAGGAGGTAACCCAGGACAGGGCCCCAAGAAGATCCCAAGGAAGCAGAGATCAGGGAACTTTCAAGGCATGGGGAACAGACAAACAACAGAAGAAATCGCCCCTCAGAGTGCTGCCCCAGATGTCCCGAAACAGCTCGGCCTCGCTCCTCAGCAAGGCTGCCTTAGATGCCCCACCCAGCCACAGCCCAGGGTGTCCATCAGAACCCCTGTGAAAGAACACCTGACCAAGTCACTCGCCTCTACCAACACAACCAGAAGCGTACCCCAGGGCCCGCGGTGGGATGAGAGGGACAAGAGGTGGGACACGTGCCAGGCTGACAGCCTCAGACAGGACAGACAGAGGGGAGGGGAGACATCTGATAGAGGCAAGCGCAGGACTCCGTGGGAGGCCAGACAAGGCTGCAGCCATGGATGGGGGCAGGGGTGCCCAGTCCAGGCAGGACACATCCCTTTGGTGGTCCCAACTGGACCCATGGCTGCTGGAGGACTGAAGCAGATTCGAGCCAGGAGGTGGGGGCAGGAGAGTGGAGGTGGAAGCCCAGGTGACCTTTGGGGACAGGGTCCTCAGGAGCTGTAGCAGAAGAGGCGCTGGGGTGGTCTCTAATGGGAAAGAAAATCCGCAGGATGTTTGTAAAGTCGAACCACAACTGCACAGACGCACAGTGCGGGTGTGTTAGAGAAGTGAAAGCAGAGCAGGTGTGGGAACAGACACGGCCAGGCAGGGACCTGGCGCTGCCATCCTGTCCTCCAGCACCTACACAGAACCTTCCTCACCTTCCTGGTGAACAGGCTGCCGCATCCTGACAGTGCTGACCAAGGAGGAGGAAGGGGTCGCAGGGGCGGGGAAGCACCCACACCCCCCTGGAAGCCCCGGGGGAGCAGACCCCACGTGGTAGGAAGGTCCAGCACAGGGTTCGCCAAGGCCAGAGCTGGAAACTACCAGAGGGGACGCAGTGTGGGAACAACAAATCCTTCCCAGTCAACTGCTGGTGATCCCGGGAATCGACAAGGACGGCCACATCCAGAGCTCTCCCGTGAGATCTCACCAAGAAAGAAGCCACGTCAGCTGTACAAATACCATTAAAAATCTCAAATACAGAACAAGTTACTTGTTTTAAAAAAAGTACTGCAGGCAACAAAAAGTTACGACTCTTTCAACTAGATTCAGGTGAAAATTAAAGAGGGGGGTGGCCCAGGACTTGGGGATGAGCCACATTCCAAAGAAACAGAACAGAACTCTTATTTCCTTCCAACAAGTCCATTAAGAAGGATGATCTACAAACCAGAAATTCTAAAACACAAGATGAGAAGAGAAACAGTCAGACAGCCCCAGACTGCTTGAGCCCTCACCTTCAGGACCCAGACAGCCAGCCCAGGGCATCAGACCCCACGGGAAGAGGCTCTGAAACCTGAAAGATCAGAAAGGAGCCCCCGTGGTTCTGACGCATGCTCTCTGGTGGCAGGTCTTCCCTGTCACCTCTGTCAAGAAAAAGGAAACATCACAACAGCCTAGTAGGATTCGGGGAGCGGGCTCCTGCGTGCCCTGGATCGCAGAGGCGAGGGCAGCTCGGGCCCAAGGGGGAGAGGGGCTCTGCCTGACCCGCCCAGCAACTCCCCACACTGGAGACACTGAAGAGATCGAATGACAAACCCGACTTACAGTGCCCTTCACAGGCTAGGACGCCAAGCCAAAGCCAACAAGACGAAGGTGAAGCATAGCTGCAGATGTAAAAGCAAG